ACTTCTTACCTCTAACTTGTCCCCAGGACCCCTCCGTCCTCCCCACCTCACCCACTTGGCTCCCCGCTACCCCCCAGTCTTCCCCATCTCAGCCAAAGGCAACTCCATCCTCCGAGCTTCTCAGGCCCCAAACCTTAGAGTTATCCCCGGCTCTTCTCTCTCAAATAAACCTTAGAGTTATCCCCGGCTCTTCTCTCTCAAATCCATCGGCAACACCTGTCGGCTCTCTCATGTGAAGATTTCCAGATTCTGATACCCACCCACCACCCCAGTGCAGCCATGCTCACCCAAACCTCCCTTACCTCCCTCAGCTGGCTCCTCACCGGCTCCCCACTTCCCTGCCACAGTCAGGTCTCCACTCAGCAGCCAGACTGGCCCTGGGAGCACATTAGTTGGGTCATGACCCTCTGCTCAAACCCTCCAATGGCTCCCGTCTCACTTAGGGTAAAAACCAAAATCCCGCCCAGGTGGCGAGGCTCGGTGGTTGAGCAACGACTTATGAACCAAGAGGTCACGGTGGTGGGCTTGATCCCAGTGTGGGGCGTGCAGGAGGCAGCCGATCCGTGATTCTCTCTCATCACTGATGTTTCTCCCTCTCTCTCTTCCTCTCTGAATTCAATAAACATATATTTAAAAACAAACAAAAACACCAAAACCCCACAGTGGCCCACCAGGCCCACATGATCGGTGACTCTCTGACCTCTGTAGCCCCGGCCCAAATACCCTCGCTGACCTTTCTGCAGCCAGGCTGCTCCCTGCTGCTCCTCAAGCTGGCCTAGAGCCTTTCCATTTCCTGCTCCCTGGGACCCTTTGTCCCTGGGCCACTCCCTCATCTCCCCCAAGCCTTGGTTTACAGGTCACCTTCCCTGACCACCCTCTCCAACAGGACAGCCTCCCGTCCCCAGGATTCTCTAGCATCTTTCCCTGACTTGCCTTTTCTCATGTACATGTCATTTATTAATTTTGTTGTATATCTTTCTACACCTGGTAGAAGTAAGTCCCAGGAAGGCAGGGCTTTTGATCTGTTTGGTTCACTGCTGTATCCCCAGCTTCTAATTTTGTGCCTGGAACATAGGAAGCTTTCATATTGTCGAGTGAAAGAGTGCAGTAAATAAGTTACATTTGGCAGCACTTTGTAATCTGCTCAATCCTAAGAAGCTGGTAGAAGTAGGATCTTCAGGGAGACAGGCAAACACACCATTGCTCACCGGTAATAATAATGATTTCCCCCTCGTTTTATTATAAAAATAACACAAATATAGGACAGAAAATTCAAATGGAACAAAGGGCATGCAATGGGAAGTGAGGCCTGCGACCCCAGTCTCATTCCCCAGAGGGGAGCACCCTTGGAGTTTCTTCTGAATGATAATGATTAAAATATCAAAGCATAGGGTCCCAGAGCAGGCGTAAAAATAAGAATGTTTTCAACATAATAATAATAATGTTTTAGCCTGGCTGGCATGGCTCAGTGGTTGAGTGTTGACCTATGAACCAGGAAATCATGGTTCGATTCCTGGTTGGGGCACATGCCCGGGTTGCAGGCTCGATCCCCAGTGTGGGGTGTGCAAGAGGCAGCCGCCGATCAATGACTCTCTCTCATCATTAATGTTTCTCTCTCTCTCTCTCTCTCTCTCTCTCTCTTCCTCACCCTTCCTCTCTGACATCAATAAAAATATATTTTTAAAAATAAAAAATAAATAAAATAACAAAAAATAATGTTTTAAAATACAAAGACACCAAGAGAAGGCGGAGAGATTTCAGGATATTTCTGTCCACTCCTGGGCACAGCCACAGATACACAAACCCTGGGACAAAAGTGCCCCCACACATGACCTTCAGAAAGGAAGCCGCATGTGCCAGATGACTTGATGGGCCACCTCCTTCACCTTCATTAGGTGATGGGCTGGGGAACCAAGGGCGGTGGGCAGTCTAGTGAGGCAGCATGATGGGGGGGTGGGGAGGAGTGTCTCCAGGTGACAGGAGGCCAGAATCGAGTCCCAGTTCAGTTAGCTCAGTTACTAATTAGCTCCGTGACCTGGGTCAGGTGCCCTAAGCCCTCCGAGTCTGTTTCCTCATCTGTAAAATTGGTGACAAATGTTACCCTGCCTTACTCAGCTGGTTTATGAAGGCACTTTACAAACACAAAGTGCTATGCAAACGTAAGTCATCGTTCAAGACAACAAAATTGTTTTCATTATGGAAAATGTCAAGTGCACATTAACAGAGAGAGTATCAGAAGAGTACATGTCGTATGATCCCATCCTATATCATAAAACCCTAATATGCAAATCGACCAAACGGCAGAACAACCGGTTGCTATGACACGCACTGGCCACCAGGGGGCAGACGCTCAACGCAGGAGCGCCACTCAGCCAGAAGCCGGGCTTGCTGCTCCTTAGCGCTGCCTTGGAGGTAGGAGTGCTCACCAGCCATGAGCCGGGCTTCTGGCTGAGCGGCACTCCCCCTGTAGGAGCGCACTGACCACCAGGGGTCGACATCCCTCAAGGGTTCCTGGACTGCAAGAGGGCGCAGGCTGGGCTAAGCCCCCCCCCCCCCCCCCAGTGCATTAATGTCATGCACCGGGCCTCTAGTTTAGTGTAAAGGTCCAGAAAAGACATATGTATTTAGAGAGGCAGAAAGCAGACCAGTACCTTCTGGTGCGGGAATGGGCATTGACTAGTGGGCTCAGTGAAACGTTCTAAGCATGATGGAAATGTTCTAAAGCTGGATCGTAGTGAGGATTGCACAACTCTAGAAATGTATGGAATGTTATTACATTGTATACTTACAACTGGTGAATTTTATCAATATGTAAATTATACCCCAGAAAGCTGTTTTTAAAGAAGCAAAAATAAAGTATGGGAAATAATCAATAGTATAATAAGATTCAACAATTATAAATTTATGGCCAATCTTGTTTCACCTACACCCATATCCATTAACAAGATTTTTTGTTGTTGTTAACCCTCAACTGAGGATATTTTTTCCACTGACTTTTAGAGAGAGTGGAAGGGAGGGGTAGAGACAGAAAGAGAGAAACACACGGTGTGAGAAAGACGCATGGATTAGTTGCCTCCTGTACCCACCTGACCTTAGATTGAGCCTGCAACCCAGGTACGTGCTCTTGACCAAAATCAAACCCGAGACCCTTCAGTCCTTAGGCCAACGCTCTAACCACTGAGCAACCAGCTAGGGCTCCATTAACAAGATTTTAAAAAATGTTTTATTTATGATTTTAATAGAGGAAGGGAGAGAGAAAGAGAGAGACATCAATTTGTTGTTCCACTTTATTCACTGGTTGCTGCTTGTATGTGCCCTGACTGGGGATCGAACCCACAACCGTGGCATATTGGGATGATCGATGCTCTAACCAACTGAGCACCCGGCCAGGGCCCTTAACAAGAGCTTTTAACGTCATCAAATATCCCATGAGTGTTCAAATCTCCAGTTGTTTAGAAATGTTAGAAATGTTTGCTTACAATTTATTTGTTTAAAAGCAGGAGTCACATGAAGTCCACACATTGTGATGGGTGGACATGTCTTTTGAGTCTGTTTTAACCGACATGTCCTGCGGCATAACCTCTCCTCTCCCCTCATCTGTCCTGCAGTTTCCCCCAGTCCGGAGGGGGCTGATTATATGTCCCTGTGGTGTCATTTAAAGTTCTCCTCTGTCCTTTCGACTGAAGTTGGACCTAGAGGTTTGACCAGGTTCAGGTGCGATTTGGGGCAAGACTGCTTCACAGGTGGTGACGTGCACTCCCCTCATGGGGCACAGTGTCTGGCTGTCTCTCTTTTTTGATGTTAGCAACTCAATGCCTAGATCCATCCATCATTCATTCAGGGGACATAACAATAAAAATATTTTTATTATAAGGTAAAACCCTCCAGCTGAAAGCCACTGTAAAGCAAATACATTATGAGACAAACGCTCTTGCAATCACCACTTGTATTAAGAAATAGATCTTCAGCCACCCCAACCACAGTCCCCTTGCTCCCTCCAAAAGTCACCACTGTGCTTACTTTTATTGTAAGGATAAAAATGGACACAAATTGCCTGGACTGTGTGGCTCAGTGGTTGACCATCGACCTTTGATTCCCAGTCAGGGCACATGCCCAGGTTGTGCTCTCGATTCCAGTGGGAGGCGTGTAGGAGGCAGCGGAGCAATGATTCTCTCTCATCATTGATGTGTCTGTCTCTCTCTCCCTCTCCCTACCTCTCTCTGAAATAAATAAAAACATATTTTAAAAAAATAGACACAGCCCTAGCCAGTTTGGCTCAGGGGATTGGAACG